AGATGGAATAATCAATAAGAAAGAGAAGAAATCAAATCTGTGATTCATCAGCTTCTTTTTTGTCTCCTTGGAGCCCCATTGTATGAGTAGATCAGATTGGTGAATGGTTGGCAATCATCATATCACATCCTAAATTTGAACAACAAATTTCTGGTACTTTTCATCATTGGTTAAATGGATTAGAAGATGGAATAAAATAACATAAAATGCAACAATAAAAAAAAATCAGTGGAGCAAAATTCTGAATTTTTCCTTTTAGTGGTACACTTTGGAATTGCACTTCACGTTGAAGGACAAGGAATATATTATTGAGAGGGGATTTTTGGTATCCAATAACCTGAGAAAACAAAAATGGAAGTTAGCTCTTATTTGCGCTTGGATCTAAACTTGCTAATGTTTTCCCTAGGAAAAGCATGAAATTTGTGGCAGAGGGGCCATGGTGTACACTAACTCTGATCCTGATATGTTAGCAATATAGTTATGTTTAATGCAAACATACTATGTGCATGAACTTATATACATTCATGGCTTACACAAACTCTGGTTTATGAACAAGGAGTTTTGTTTTATATTTGAATTTTTTAGCATAATGGAATATTGGCCCATTCTGCCCTAAGTTTGGAGATATAAAAAAATAAAAAAAGTTTGAGGCATATCATTAATATTTGCTTAAAATAGGAAATTTCCCTTTCAAAGAATATTAAGTCCAAAAATAGCCCCCTAATTATTTGCATGTGGGACAAATTAGTCATAAATATTTCTAATTTCTTCATTTTATTCCTTATATATAAAGTTAATCCAGAAATGGATCCTATATTGTAATATTGTGATAAAAAATAATCCCAATTTATTTTATTTACTTAAACAAACTGATCCCAACTCAATCTAGGAGGTATTATTTGGATCAATTTTATATAATTGATGAATTAAATATGAGAATTTATATGTCATGCCATTAAAACTATAGGAGAGAGAGTTATTGAGCATTAGGTTACTACATGATACTAATGTTTTCTCAAAATCAATTGATTCAATGTCGGATAGGTTACTATGGAAGCTATATTTATTTAATGAATTTGATTTGGTTTGATGGAGAGTATAGAGAGAATAAAGGAGGATCTCATATAATTTTTATTGATTTGGAGAAAGCATGTGGGGCTCGAGAATGAATGAATATGATTTAAAATTATGTAAGTGCAATTAAGTGGCCTAGTGCTGTGGCGTTAGTTCAAAAATTCAAATTATAGAGCTTAGAGCGTTGTAAATGCACTATTGGCATTTGGTACTGTAGCAGCGTCGAGACGGCTTAGCACCCATATTGACACGCTCAATATGTAATATTTATTTTAAATTTTGTCAATAATTTAGCTCAACCCTTGAGACTGCATTCTAAAGAGCACATGCAATCTTTTTCAAGCATTAAAGCACTTTCAAATACAATGCAAATGGATTTGAAAACAAAATTTTAAAATATTTACTTTTTTTTTCAAACGGTGAAAATTGGTCTGAAATTGTACTTTAATCCTGGAGGTCTCACAGCAACACCCGGCTGAAATAAGCTAGGGTCCTCTTACTCTGCATTGAAAATTGCGCCCAAAACCATAGCCTAATTGCATCAGTTCTCATTACAAACGGCTAGCTAAAATCTTTAGTGCTAACACAGAAGCACTCGTCATGGCTTTTTCCTCAAACTGCTCATGCTTTGGGTGCGCCTCCTCTTTGACAACTATCATTCTTCAGTTGCTCTGTCCAATGCCCATGCTAAATAGAGTTCTTCCCCTCAACAAATTTCCTGTAGTATATGGAACCCAAAGAACTCCTCAACTCCTTTAGGTTTTGGGTAAGGGGGCACTTCCAACATAGCCCTTTTTCTTGAAAAGACCTGCAGTAATCAATGGATTTAACACCACAATGTCCCGAATACCCAAGGACACTTCTTTAATTTTCATATAGATGATGCTCCCTTTAATGTCACTAACACAACCCTCAAAGTGCTCCACATACTCTGCCTTAGACCGGCTATACACCAAAAATGTCAATCGAAGAAATTCAATATAAACTTGCAGAGGTAGGACTGGAAATACCTTTGTTCATAAGTGAATTGGAAGGTAGTTTGGGGCGTTGGTAAAGGCAAAAGGCATCACTTAAGAACTCGTATTGGCTTTGTGAGTCCTAAAAAGCAATCTTGTCGATGCTAGTTGGCCGGCATTTTGATTTGATGGTATCCTCGATTTCAAAGATTAGTCTTGGGAGGAAATCACCACTCCATATAACTTAACTCAATCAATGGACAGGTATATTAAACTTTCTAACACGCGTTTTCTTATTCAGAGCCCATAATCACACAAATCTTCAACTATTGCCCTGCTTCTTGACCAATAACATAAACAAGGGGACTAACATTGGGACGAATGATCTGGGCTCCAACATCTCCCTTGATCAGTCTCTCAACAATTTCCATCGTTCTGAACCTGTGGGTACCGTAGGGTCTAACACTGATAGGCGATACCTCCTAGGTGTGTCAATATTTGGCAACACGAAAACCCGATACCCTTATACCAACCCAAAAATTTTGGGTTAGGGTCAACACCGTTTGTGATGTCGAACCTACATAACAGAATTTTGTTTATAAAAATTTGAAATTGCACGCTCATAAAGAGAAACAATAGAATTAATCACTTCCCACATTAAACCAAAAGAGTGAGCAACAACATAGTGATTAAGCTTAGGAAATCAATTATATGATAGTATTCGAGCACAAAATAATCAAATTAAATCAACCCTGGTTGAATGTTGGGACACTTTCAAAGAAAATCACTCTGTAACAACTTAAGAAAATCAGCTATAAGCATCCCACTCACACACGCTCATAGTAAGGGCTAAACCGGAGAATTTCATAATTTTAAACGATGCCCAACAATTGAGGAGTCCAAAGGATAAAAGGGTTATGAGAAGAGTCAACACCAACTCATTCTTCAAGCTTCTGGACTTTGTCTCCAACATTTCTCCAGGATCGCGGCTCGCCTA